TTCCATCAAAAAGACATAACAGACCAGAATTTGGTGTTCATAATTGCTTCAAGATTACAGTTATAACTGAAGCTTAACAAAGTATATTCTATTGACATGCCTTGGCACTAGAGTGATCCTATGGTGCTGTTTGTGGGCTCTTTGCTTTTGAAGACTTATAGCTAGAATGGTGTAATAATAAGGCCCTTTTAACGCTTAATTTTTGCCAAATCCAATGTCAAAAATTTTCGCCGAGGAGTTTTATAGTTTTAACTCTTATATTTAGGTCTATGATCCATTCGAGTTAATTTGTATATATTGTATGTATATGAGATGTGAGGTAAGCATATATTATATTTGTGTATGTGAGATGTGAGGTAAGCATAGCCCTCTTCACAGTTCCATTTTCTTATAAGTGCTGAATAACTTATAAAAATTTGGAATGTAAATTCCAGGAAGCTAAAATAATCAAATTTTCCCCATAACACTGATCATTATTCATATGGTCATTATTCATATCCATGATCCTCAAGCAAATCTTCAGCATCATTTTGGTATTATGTCTAATTTATTATATTTAAATTACCATATTTTATGCAAATAACGTGCACCTTCTACATGTTTCTGAACCGCGCCCTCCCTCCCATGAGATATTTTCATAAGCACGCTATGCTAATTTTTTTTACAGTAACATGTAAAAAAAATTGGCATAGTGACACTTATGAAAATACCTCACGGGGGGGCACACGGTTGGCAAACAAACGTAGAAGGTGTGTGTTATTTGCATAAAATACAGTATTTGAAACCTGGTAATCAATGTGTGGTATACGGACATGTATTTTTCCAGAACATCACATTTATCTGATATGCTTTCCTCTGCCCATTCAAGATAAACAGGAATTTACTTGAAATCTTTTTTAAAATGTGTAATAATTTGTGGGCGGAAAGATTGTATTAGTTTTCTATGCTGCATAAGAAATGGCTATAGACTTAGGGGCTTAAAACAACACACATTTATTATCTCATAATTTCCATGAGTCAGGAATCCAAGCCTGGCTTAGCTGAGTCTTCTGTTTAGGGTCTCACAAAGTTGCAATCAAGATACTACACAGGTCTCAATTCTGTCTGGAGGCTTGACTGATGATGGATCTGCTTCCAAACTCACTCAGGTTGTTGGCAGAATTTATTTCCTTGCAATGGTAAGACTGAGGGCCCCAGTTTCTTGCTGGCTGTCAACCAGAGGCCACCTTTAGCTGTTAGAGGCCACCTACAGTTCCTGATCCCATGGCCCCCTCCATAAGCCCTCTTAGCACATGGCAGCTTGCTTCTTCAAAGCCATTAAGGGAGAAAGAGAGTGAGTCTGCTAGCAAGATGGAGTCTATTGGTTAGAAGCAAGTCACAGGTTCCACTCACTTTTAAGGGGAAGGAATTACACAAAGGTGTGAATGCCTGGAGGCCGGAAGCACCTCGGGACCACCTTAGAGTCTATCTACTACAGCCATAGAATAGTTGTGCTCTGGCTGGTGATCATTACCAAACCTCCAGCTTCACAGGCCAGTAGTTCCCAACACAGATGCTCTAAGAGAGTCTTCAGATGCCTAAGAGAATGTCCAGAAACATCTCAAACAAAAGATCAAAAGATCAAAACAAACATACAAACTAAAAAAGCCACACTCCATTTAAAAAAAAAAGTTTTATTATGGACAATTTCAAATATACACAAATGTAGAACAATGTAATGAACATTTATGTGTCACCCATCCCCACACCCACCAATCCATAGCCAGTCTTGCCTCATATACACCCCCATCTGCTCTCCCCTCATGAAGTATTTGAAATAAATTCCTAGATTTTCTAACATTTCATCCATAAACATTTCTATACATATATCTAAAAAATAAGGACTTTATTTTTTAAACACAACCGCTTTACCATTATCCCACCCAAAAAATTAACATTGATTCTTTAATATAATCTAATATCCAGTGTGCCAATTTCCAACTGTCTTATGTCATCATATTTTTATAGTTTGTTTGTTTGACCCGAAATCCAAATAATGTCTATACATTATAATTGGTTATGCGTCTTTTAAGTCTTTTAAAATCTATAGGTCCCTCTTCCATCTCTCTTCCTCTTTTATTTGCTGGAAGACTATTTGTTGAAGAGACCTGGTTCTTTTTTTTTTTTTTTTTTTTTTTTTGTCCTGTAGAGTTTCCCAGAGTCTGGAAATTGCTGACATATTACAATTTTTAAAAGTGAGCTTATTGCAAAATCAACTCCACAAATACTTTTCAAAGATTTATACTAAATGGTCTTTTTTTCATTAATTATGACATCTTTCCTTACTTTTCTTTCCTCCTTGTTTCTTGAATTCATTTATCTTGATCACCTCTGAATCAATAACAAGAAGTTCTGCAAAACTGCCATCTGCTTTCCCCTGGGGTTTATATCTTAAAACAAATTTTCCTCAATTGAATTCAAATTGAATAAGAGCATTGAAACCAAGGATCCCTCATAAAGACTGTTTGTTATTTCAAAGCATTTTCTATTTACTGTGCCTTATTTAGAATACATTAGAATCTTGCAAAGGCAATTCTGTTTGTTCAAAATGGTGTGTAATTGGAAATAATTGCAATTCCCTACCTGACATAGTCTCTTTGGTTTTTTTATTAGAGAAATTTAATTTATTAGAAACAGTGTACCATCTGAATCTATTAATGTAACATTCCTTTTTCTTTATGTTCCAAATTGATGAGGTTGTACTGCATCAAGAAATAATCACAATTTAAAATCTAAGCCTGAAATATCATTCAACAGAAGTTTATATTGATATATTTCTGTTTTAAAATTTTATTTTTATAAAATCAATATAAGACATTGTCTTATTCATCTAGCGCTGCTCCAACAGAAATACCACAAGTGGATGGCTTTAACAAAGAGAAGTTTATTCTCTCACTGTCCTGTAGGCTATAAGTCCAAATTCAGGGCGTCAGCTCCAGGAGAAGGCTCTCTCTCTCTCTGTCGGCTCTGGAGGAAGGTCCTTGTGATGCAACAGTCTTCCCTTGGTCTGGGAGTATCTCAGCGCAGGAACCTCTGGTCCAAAGGACGTGCTTTGCTCCCGGCACTGCTTTCTTGGTGGTGTGAGGTTCCCCTGTGTCTCTGCTCGCTTCTCTCTTTTGTATCTCAAAAGAGATTGCATTAAGACACTATCTAATCTTATAAACCTAATCAGTATAACCTCATCACAGTGACAGAATTTACAACACATAAGGAGATCACATATAACCTCATCATAGTGATAGAGTTTACAACACGTAAGGAAATCACATCAAGTTACACAATCATACAACACTGAGAATCGACCCAGCCAAGCTGATAGATACTTTTGGGGGACACAACTCAATCCATGACAGACATGCATGTAATTTAAAAATCCAATAGGACTCTCAGGCTTATAAAGAAAACCAGCAATCCCTCTCCCTACCTGTCCTCACCCCGATTCTTGTTCCCTGTAGGTACCATGTGACAATCAACTTTCCAAAATGTTGTTGCCATCTCTCAATCACTGTCATTGCCTTTTTTGTTTTCTCTGCCTTTGGAGGATTATACCCTTTTCAAAACTCTTTTCCTGTAATTTCTGTGGTCTTTTGAGAGGAAGCAGAGCTAAATCTGTGTGTTCAGTCTGCCATGTGTAAGTGGTAGCTTTCATATTCTTTTTTTAAGAACACTGCTGTGGCCATATATGTCTCCTTCCTTCCTTCTTAATGCAAAAACAAGAAGTCTCTATGTTGTTTGTGACCGTGAAGAAGAGGTGGCAGGGGTGCTTAAGACAAGAGCACTTTGATATGAGAAACTACTTCTTTCTCCTACCATCCCTTTTTGGATCCTCTTCTTGAGTTTTCACTTTTTTGAGAAGTCAGAAAGTTGTAAAAATCGGTAAAATATATAGAATTTTTCAACGAATGTAACAGGCATCTTCCAGACTCTCAGGATGGGGGTACAACCCTCTTCTCCTACTCTAAGTTAAAAAGAATAATTCTGTGACTTGCTTCATCCACCAGATTGATGGAAACTCCCACCCCCACTGATCTCTCCCTGTGCCTTGAAGGGCATGGGTCTTTGGCTTAGCTCAACAGTACTGTCATTCTACAGTTTCTAGAGTGGTCTCTTGGTGAAGTGTGTCCCTCTTCCTTATGAAATGGCACTGCCCAGAGCACCATATGCCACTGTGAAAGTATCTGCTGTGCCCTTGTCACTCTCGACCTTTCTAGGAAAGACTGTGGTTTTGGTTGCTCACCTCTAACCCTGAACACCACCCCCACATGCAACTTTTGCACCCTGACTCTCCTCCCTTTGGACATGAGTCCTCCATCTCTCATGATACCAAAGAGGTTAGGGAGTGACCTTTGTGCAGTGGTTTGCTGGTAAATGTTTATCAACCAACCCTCTAGGGAGAAATAAGCCCCAATGTGTAGCATTTGCTGATTTCCGTGGTGTAAATATTTCTACCATGGCTGATTTCAGGCTACCCTATGTGACTTGAAGTTGGGAAGAAAGGTACCCAACTGACTCTTGTGAGAGTATGAGCAGATTCCAGCACACCACTGCCTCTGGGGACAGGGCTCAGGGGTCTTCATTCGAGACTTCCAGACTCAAGGATGAAGTCATTTGACTTTTCCAGTGAGCTACTCAGTTAACTCTTTGGTCATGCCCAGTCAGTCTGAATCAACTGGCTCAGAAAACTCCACAGTGCTCTGCATCTGTCTTTCCTGTTGGCTAAAAATGTGTGTTCTGGTTCGGTCTTAATTGTGTTATTATTATTATTTTTTTTACTCTGCTTTAGTATCCTCAGAACAACCTCTTTTAAAAATTAATTTCATGTACTAGGGTGAAACTGATAGTATGTAGAGATTGTTTCTTATCCAGGTAAACTTTCTCACGGCCCTGCACTAATGGAAGAATCAGGTAACTGGGATTCCTTTTTCTGCTATTCTGTTGATAATATTTTCTTTCTTCCACAGTTGACAGACCTGTCAGGGTGTATGCAGATGGAATATTTGACCTCTTCCACTCAGGCCATGCAAGAGCACTTATGCAAGCAAAAACACTGTTCCCCAACAGCTACTTGTTGGTAGGAGGTAAGACGTGTCTATTCTCTTTTTCCGGAAAACTCCTTCATAATGGTAACATCTCACGTTGTTAATGCTTCCAACTCAGCCCAGACTGGCTCACTTGTTCGCTGTCTGACATTTAAAATGATGTTTAGAAAACCATAAGGGAAATCACATCATGGAATTGCACAGCACTCATCTTCTGAGAGGGGAGAGACTCACAATACCACCAAGGGTGACTGTTTCATGTTTTCTATTAGTGCCCTTCTCTTTGGGTTTGAGGCAGGATCCAATTTCTGTTTCTAAAATTTTTGAGAAGGTTAGGAAAGCAATATTATTTTAATTTCAAATCTTGGAGAACTGAGGGGATTCAGGATGATTAAGGGCAAAGAAGGTCATTGTCTATTTCCTTAGTGTGACCTACAGCACTTAGGCCGATGTTGTGCTAACAGTAGCAGCTTATGCCAATCCTAATTAGTTGAATTTACTCACAGTGTATTAAAGAAACAGAGATTTATATGCCCAGATAACCTTGGCTCACAGTGAAAGGACTGACTTTCTTCATAAGCTTGTGGAGAGAGAAGGGTAGTTAGATGTGGCTTACAATTTTCCTCCTCCAGAAGGCCTGCATATTTCAGTTTGGGTAAAAGTGATAATGCTTGACCAGGGAGGCCTGCATCTCACCTTACAGAATTATGAGGGGTCTCTGTAGCTTCCGGAAGCAGCAAGTCCATCCACTATGATCAGTTTTGGTGGCATTACATGAACTAGGCACCATCAACCCTCGGACTTACTGTGAGAAAAAAAGGTGCTGATAACTGTATATCTATTTAAAAAGTATGTTGTCATCTTCTGCAAGTTTAAAACTACCTTTCAGATATTTAAGAGGAACCCTTCTGCAGCTGTTGCCGAGGATGGTGACCACGTGGTTATTGAACGGTGTTCTTTCCAGAAGCAAGAGATGGTGAAAGGCATTGGTTACTGGGCAAGTCAGACAGAGGGAACCCAAGGCAGGCAAGAAACACTTCACTTGCTCACTTCCCTTTATCTTGAATGGAAAACCATTTCTCAAGTGAGCACTACCACCTGGAGTCTGGTCCCAGGCTGATGGGGCCACAGGGAGACATTTGCAATGTTTAGGATTTTCAAAAATCCTTGGGGCTTCAGTTTCAGCTTATTAAATTTGGTCATTTTGGTGATTGAAATTTAGCGGTGGCTAGATGCAGGTCACAGTTAACAGGAACATCAGCCATGGCCCTGGGTTAACACATCAAAAGTAGGATCAATGGAAATGTTCAGCTTTCAGTACATTCTCGTAAATTGAAGAAGGCAGTTAATTAATGTCAGCAGCTTTCCAGGTAATTATGCCACAATGGTTTCACTGATTCATGGACTGATTCCTTCATTTAACAAATACTTACCGCGTTTCTACAATACCAGGCACTAGGGACGCAGCCATGAGCAAAATAGACTGTCTATACCCTCATAGAGCTTATACTCCAAAGTGGAGGCAGATAACGCCCAATAAACTAGTAAATACGTAGTCATGGTGCTATGAGGAAATATAAAATCAGGCAAGAGGAAAGAGTGACTGGATGGGTGAAGGAGAGATGTTTTAGGTAGGAAGGCCAGGAGGCCTCTCTGATGAGGTGACATTTGTGCAGAGACCTGGATGAAGGGAGGGCGTGCAAAAGCCAGACCATACACCCTTCCTTGTGCAGCCTTCTCACCAATCAAGACGATACGTGGGGACAAGTGAAGAAGACATGGTAGCTACAGTGGTATGTTATTTTACCGATTTGTATGTCTTTGAGGAGGCTTTCCATAAAAGCACAGATGCTTTAATACTCAAAGCAATTAATATAGACAGGAGTTCAGGGTCAAGAATTAATGCAGAAGAGAAGGAGAAAAACTCCAGCAAGAAATCCTAGATGTCTTAGCAGCCATGGCAAAGGGGGCCATATAGTCATTCCATAACTCAAATGCTGGAAGCAATACTGCTCCATTCAAAGGCAGGAAGTAACTTTTTCCTGCCTTGAGTTCTTATTGCCAAAAATTGCAAAAATAATTTATTATTATTATTGTCATCAAAAATATTTTTTAAATTCCAGTAAAAAGACCAGACTTAATGGTCTGACTGAGACTGGAGGAACCCCAGAGAGCATGGCCCCCGGACTCTCTGTCAACCCAGAACTAAAACCATTCCTGAGGAGGCCAACTCGCCAGACAAAGATTAGACTGGACTATGGGACATAAAATGATACTCGTGAAGATTGTGCTTCTTAGCTCAGGTAGATACATGAGACTAAATGGGCAGCTCCTGTCCAGAGGAGAGATGGGAAGGCAGAGAGGGTCAGGAGCTGGTTGAATGGACGTGGGAAATCAGGGGTGGAAAGGAGGAGGGTGCTGTCACAGTACAGGGAGAGCAATTAGGGTCCCATAACAGTGTATGTATAAATTTTTGTATGAGAGACTAACTGGAATTGTAAACTTTCACTTAAAGTACAATAAAATAAAATAAAAATTTTTTTAAACATCTATCAAGTCACAATTTGTTAAGATCCTCCTTCAAATTTGTTGGAAGCAACGGATTAGAAATGACCTGACCTGCAATAGGATTTGTTACCAAGCCATCAGAATCATTTGCTTTCTCCCTTTTGGGGAAGTATAACAAAAAGACTTTACCAAGACTTACCAGATGACTCTAAATTATAACTCTTGCTCTTTTACTTGAAAACAACTTATTCAAACAGATACACTCAGAAAGGGTTGGGAAATGGAAATATTGGTAATTTCATTACATCATTGTCAGTACAATCATTTTTGATAAAATGCTTTTATCATGTGCTTTCAACATTTTTTTTAAAACAAATCCTTGAGGCTGCAGTTTCAGCTTACTAAATTTGCAGGAAACACCATCTAACCTAATTGGCAAAGCCAGTCCTCACTGTTAAACCTACTAAAGAAATCTAGAAAAAGTATGACTTCACTTTTCAGTTCAATTATTTATATTAATGTGTTTCAAGAAATTTCATTGAAACCACTGAGAAATGCATTACAGAATGCATTGTATAAAACAGAATCAGCCAAGATTAAAATAATATAGACCTAACATAATAAGTTATAAACAAAACAATAAATCAATGTGCTTAATTTGTAGTAATGCAATATAATTTATACATAAAATTGTGATATTTATAAAGAGAGGAGTATAATAAAGGACATGCTATTCTTTCTCTAAATATTGTGGGGGGGGTGTGTGTCTGTGTCTGTATCAAATTCTAGTGTTTGGCTTTTGGGAATAGTTAAATAAAATCAAATATAAAAATCAAAAGTAACAATTATCTTTATTAGACATCACAATTAAACTTTTCCTATGTATTTAATGATAAAAAAGGGCATAACTGTTAAAAAAGTAATTGATCTGGCAGCATATAATTTTACTTTTTGTTGTGAGGAGGTAGAAAATAATAAACATTTTAGAAGATGAAATGGGATGAGGATTATCTTTAAGTGGAATAAATATTTTATGATGTGAGTTGACAAATTAGGTTTTTTACTTCCTTTCTAAATAATTCATATGAAAGCTGAAAAAAATCGTGTAAACGTTTTATCCACGTGTTTATTCCAGTGCATTTTGAAAATTTTGCTAATTCCAGAAAGTATTCCTATTACATTTTTAAGAAGCAGCAGTACCAACCTATACACCTTTGGCTTTTTAAAGTGAACAGCTAGGGGAAAAATGCTCACTCTTAAATACAAGATAAAAGCCATTTTTAGGATTCAATATGAGTGTTGAGACTAGCTAAAAAATGCTTACTCTTAACTACATGAAAAAGCCATTTTTAAAATAATATTTTATTGTATTTTAGGTGATAGTTTACACAGCAAATTAGGTTCCTCTTTAACAATGTTTATACAAATTTTTTATACAAATTCCGTATCATTGGTTGCAATTTTTACAATGTGTCAGCATTCTCATTATTTCCATTCTGTTTGTTCTGTTTCCATTTTTCTAGCTTCCTTTCCCCTCCTTGCCTTCTCATCTTTGCTTTCGGGTAAATGTTGACCATTTGGTCTCATGTAGTTACTTCTTTAAGGGAGCACATTACTCACGGGTGATATTGTTTATTTTATAAGCCAATCTATTATAGCTTCAATTCCAAGTTCAAAGGGTATCTTAGGGCGATAGTCTCAGGGGTTCCTCTAGTCTCTATTAGTCCAGTAGGCCTGGCCTTTTTTAGGAATTTGGGTTTTGTTCTACATTTTTCTCCCATTCTATCAGGGACCTTCTACTGGTCAGTAGTGGTAGCCAGACACCATCTAGTTCTTCTTGGTCTCAGGTTAGAAGAGGCTGTGGTTTGTGTGGGCTATTAGTCCCATGGACTAGCTTCTTCTTTGAGACTTTGATTACCTTCATTCTCTTTTGCTCCTTACGAGTAGAGACCAATAGTTGTATCTTAGATGGCCACGGGCAAGCTTTTAAGACCCCAGGTGATACTCACCAAATTAGGATGTAGAACATTAACTTTGTGAACTATGTTATGCCAATTAACTATGGTCTCAAGCCTTTTAACCCAGTAAACCAATCCCACAAGTTGTTTGGCTATATCTAGGCAGCCTCCGTAACTGTGCCCCCACGTGTTTTGTTACATATGCGGATACCATATTTTTATGCAAATAACATGCACCTTCTATGTTTGTTTGCCAACTGCTCCCCCCCGTGGGGTATTTTCATAAGTGCTGTTATGCTATTTTTTTACATGTTGTTTTATTTGTGTAAAATATGGTATATATGCAGCACACACAAACGTGTATATGCATATGCCTGCAGATACCTATACATGCATGTGTGTTTACTCACATATGCCTTTCTATACACATATATGCATCCATATCTACCTATGTAACCACATGCGTATTTTTGGTTGTTTTTACTGTTGTTGCAAAATTGTATATGTTATAGCATTTACTGAAATTTTCCCTTTTTCTTGTGTACTTCTTAGTGTCTTTATTGACCCTGATTA